TTGTTTTCTACACAATGTACCAGGTGGCAGGTGACATTTTTTTTCGAATTGCTTTGTGAACTAACCTACCTGAAGGTTAGAACTTTCGGAGACCTTGTTATTTTAGAAGAAAAAGGGTTTTTAACTATTTTCTCTCGGAAAAGATTTTCTCTTTTCAAAAATATAGTATCTGTTTCCATCAATGTCATGAACTTAAAATTAAAAGTGTTACTAAATTAAAGTGTTAACTCAATCCTCATACTAAAAGATTTCCGTAGTGTTTGCATAAATGCACAGTACCTATATTAAGAAAAGTATATGATATATGAAACATATAAAGATATATTATATTAGTCAAGTCTGTTGCAACAGATTCACTATTTGATGAAATTATAAATCTATAAATAAACAAACGTAATTCGTAAGAAAATAACTCGTAAATATAGACATCGATTATTAAGTATATATAAATTGTTCGTGTTCTTGCCTTTATTATAAATCGGAACTGTCCTCTATATTGTAATATGGATACGAATGAGCTATTAAAATGTGAGAAGCAATAATACATATTGTTACTTGTACCAAATGTACCTAATCGAATAGATGATTCCTAATAGAGATTTCTGGCAATGTTCTACTTGTTATTACATCTAAATATTATTTGGTGTTCAGTTCTTATTGTAGTACATGTTTCTCAGTGTGGCAACGTTATGGCATGTTTAGGGTTGCCAGACAAGTGTGTTCATTCGAGTGAAATGTATCAAAATTGGGCCACCCACAGGCCCCGCTAGGTTTCTTAAATATATACACTGCGGTGTTATTTATCGCTATTAGTCTAAGTAATGTATACTTAAGGTTTCTTAACCTTAATTCATTCTTTCGTTTTCTTATATTAAGTTCTACATAGTCCGCTCTTGGTGGAAACGACGAAAGGCGCCAAACAAAACTTCTGTCAACAAAACTACTCTGCTAGAACAGATTATGATCAGATTTACAGAATGTGTAAAATAAATAATGTAGCATTGAAATGTTAATATTATATTGTTTAATTAAGGCCATTTTACACATAACTATTACGTTATGCGAATCGATATTCCCGCCAGTGTGTACATTAGGCCGCCTACAAACCTAGTACTTCATTTTTGTCTTGTACTAATTATTTTCCAGCAATGAGTATAAAGATATTGTGTCCTCCAAGGACTGGCGTTTCTTGTTATCCGCATCTCGACTGTATCCAGGTTTTATCAACTCGTATCATAAGCAATGCGTTTCTGTGTTTGAGACAAATATACCTCGCGCGTTTCTCGTAGGTGCGACAACTCTTTACATTTACGCACATAGGACACAATTTAACAATCTGCTTGTTGTGTATTACTTCTAATTTTGCTATTTAATTCCTCGAGTATCTAACAGTCTGGAATAATTGCGAGGTTAACAACCTCTGTGAGCCCCCTAATCAGTTGTACTGAACATTTGGTACATCAGTAAAGTAATGGTGTAATATGAACCGATATGTTTTAATACATGTATGTGAACACTACAAATTATAAAATGAAACTACTTTTACGAATATTGTGCTGAGAGTTCAATTCTCAGTTTTTTTTTTATTTTGAATTATTCATTTTATCTTTAAATTATATCAAAAATGGTATAAAATCCGTTAAAAATAGTTTCGTTAATATTACATTTAGATGTTTTGTGCCACCCTATGTACTCTGTAAATGTGAAAAATACAATGTAAATAATATTAACTTATGTATGTATAATATATAAATACGTTTATAAACCTGTTGTTTCCTGTGTACACTTATGTAGCGTTGTTCTTGCATTCGATGTTGACTGTACATATAAAGTTTGAAAATGGAAATGTAATAATTATTATGTTACAAAAACTTTGCGTTTTATTTATTTAATAGCCTAATTGTATATATTTTCTCTATTATTATAATATGCACTCGGAATTGGAACTTTTTCACACACATTAAGTTTGCTTTGTTCAAACTTAAAGTAACAACTTAAAGTTTCTTCGATGTAACATAACCTGTTTAGCTCAGTGGTTAGTGTCGGGCGCTTGTGTCAGAGGACGCAGGCTCAAATCCCAGAGGCGAAACTCTTTTCTTCCATTTGCTTACAAATTTAAAATTTGTAAAAAAATGCAATATACTCGAGCAACCTGAGTTCGATCCCCGGTGCCGGCACCAATGAAATTGTTAATTTTAAGTGCCGATATATCAAGTCCTCAGCTGTGAAGGAAAACATCGTGAGGAAACCTGCATTCGAAATAATAACAAAAAAGAAAATAATAATAATAATAACAAAAAAATAATATTTCGTAGATATGTGAAGTCGTCAATCCGCAGTGGGACCACGTGGGTCCACCACGCCCTATATGCCCTGATACCCTCTGTGCAAAGGAGGCATTTGCCCAGCAGTGGGAAATGTAATACTGGATAAGTGACCTGTTATGTAGTCGACAATCTCTTGGTATTTGTTTAGTGACTGTCTGTAATATTTACACACTACTGCTGTACAGGCTGTTACTTGTTTACTCTGTGCACAAGTGTTGTTCGCAAGGTGGGTTGACGTCAGACAGGCGGGCGGTCGTAAAAATGTAACCAATACGAATAACGACATAATTCTGTCCAACAGCAAACTGTCGCGTGGCCCTACCGCAGTTAAAAAATTCTAGTTCTTCTCGAAAAGAGTTGTAAATAAACAGAAGAAAGAGGCATCAGAACAACCAAAGATCCGGGGCAGTGCCTGATAATGTCAAGCGATGCGGAAGACCTGTTGAGTCCGTTAAGTTTAAGGTCCACAATTATGATCTTCGTAGAAACATGTTCGAGAGTTGTTACCCTTTTAACTCGATGATTTTACCAATATACGGGGACAATGTTCAAACCAGTTTTATGCGTTTTTTGTGGCGCAAAATTCCCGATAAAAAATTGACGTTTACTGTCTACAACTATTTATGCTTTTAATATTATATATAATATTTTATATTATAATTTCATATATTTTTTACAAGTATGTAACAGAACTCAAACACTCGTTCCGTGCGGGAATAGAATCCGCGACACGTTGCGTATAAACCGATATGCTCTGCCGCTGTACCAAACGTGCGAAAGTTACTGAAATTTTGGTTAGACTGGATATAAGAAGTCACCATATTATATATCATGTAATGGCATAGGAATACATGTATCTGGAATTAGTTTTAATACAAAAAGAGAGAGAAAATACTCAGATCGTCGCCTGTCAAACATGGTGTGGAAATTCTCCATAAAAATCAAAGGTTCCGAAGATATTGAAGGTTCATATTTTTTCTATCATTATTTTTTCTATAAAATAAGAAATTGTGTTATTTTTTAATCTGAATTTTAACAATTCTTATGTTCAAATTAGAATATTCTTTGTTTTAAATACATTTAAATACGTAATAAACATTATGTAAGAAAATCCCGGGGTCCCTCGAAACGTATACAAGATTGCCACCGTGGGGGAGGGATTAAAGTGGGTACGAACCCTGTCATGTAAGGTGACAGGGTATCTTTGAAGATTTTCCACCGATACCAAAAAAGGTGCTATCATACGAGACGAGGACACTCAAACCACACAAAGAATGAACCAAACAGTTCATTGAAATAGTCGAAAACCCTGACAACCATTTAAACGGAGCGAGATATTGGATGCGCCGCCGCGATCTTGGGCTCGATTTCTACATGAGACAACTGTTTGTGTGACCCACGGATCGATGTTAATGTGTCGCGTTTGTCCGCGTGAAATCTTATCCTTTAAACGAGCAATATATATATATATATATATATATATATAAAATAACAAAATAACAAATCGACAAAAAATAAAAGATAAAGAAAGCAATGATCTGGAATCGAAAAAAAAAGTAAAAATATAAGTGTGTAAATGGTCGTGATACGAACCACGGCCTTCTGTTTCGTGGCTGTTTGTTAGCGGCCGCCCGATAACCGACCGAGCTATTATAACATTTTTTTTTCATTGCCTGGAAACTGGGATAAAACGACATTTTCTAAAAATGAAACCTAGTCAGATCGATTTTTCGCCCCCGAATCTACGCACATACTAAATTTCACGAAAATCGTTGGAGCCATTTCCGAGATTCCAAATATATATATATATATATATATATATATCGAATTCCAAATATATCGAATTCCAAATATATATATATATATATATTTGGAATTCGATCTGACTAGGTTTCATTTTTAGAAAATGTCGTTTTATCCCAGTTTTCAGGCAATGAAAAAAAAAATGTTATAATAGCTCGGTCGGTTTCGGTTATCGGGCGGCCGCTAACAAACAGCCACGAAACAGAAGGCCGTGGTTCGTATTACGACCATTTACACACTTATATTTTTACTTTTTTTTTTCGATTCCAGATCATTGCTTTCTTTATCTTTTATTTTTTGTCGATTTGTTATTTTGTTATTTTTTTCCATTTTTTTTAAAATTCTTTCTTTTGTGAAAAACACCAGTTCATATTTTCTTATTATTACGTCGGTAAGTTCGAAAGATATTATGCATATTTCATTATTTAGTAATTTGTACCTAAATGTAATTTCCAAAATACACGATTTACCAAAAAAAAAAAACAAACCGAGCAAAGCTCGGTCCTCCAGGTACTTTATATTTATATGTCGATACAGCACAGGATAATGAATTTCGAAGGAAAGACTACAACAGATCTTTCTAGGTCGCAGTGATCGTTGGGGCCAGGGTCGCGGATTTAGAGGTCTGGAGGCCTCTGGAGCAAAGGAGTGGAGGCCCCTTGTCCTCAAATTATTATACAAATAAAATGAACAAGTCTTTTCAGTCGGGTTTTCCAATAAATAATTTATTGTGAAACCAAGTATAGATCCTTTTATTATTTAAAGAACAAATAAATATAATTGGAAACAAGAATTTTGAAAAAAATATGAAAGGAAAAGTTGTTTGCTAGTGTTTACTGGTCTGAAATTGAATTTTTTTTCAAGTCTCTATTGTGGGGGCCTCTCTTTTGTGCAGACCCTGGGGCTGTAGCCTCGGTTGCCCTCCTCTAAATCCGGTCCTGGTTGAGGCTTACTACCCAACCCCTTCCACACAATAAAAATACAAAGCTACCAGACGTCAGTTCCTTTCTTTTAATTCTTTTGCTTAATTTAGTGTAAAGTAACACTTGCGAGAGTTTTATACACCTTAGCTGCAGTGTTCAATTAGTGAACAGTTTATTTCGGTTAACAATGAGCTATTTTTGTGTGCCGTCACACAATTTTTGTCTCCTTTTCAAGTTTTCAACTCCGAATATATTAAATTTCAATGAGTGTATTTAGTAACGAAGTGTATATATATTATACGTTGACATTTTGTATTGTGATGTAATCATGGAATTTTCTCACAAGCACGAATACCAGCTTCATTATCCAAATCATCGCCTGCTAAGTAATAGTGAGATAGTAACATTATGTGAAATAATGGCATCTCTTGATTGCATTGATTAGAAGAAAAAAAATGTTATAGATATTACTAATACTAAAATAAAACAGCATACATGTTTATTGAAATATGAACTTATGTTCAAACAATACTGTACATTAGCAGGGCCACAAAATATCTTGCACTGTGGCTCCAATGGGAAGGCTCATCGGTGAAAGTACCACGGCCTCACGGAAGGCCGCCGTGAAGTGAAAGTATTATCTATAATTCAGTGTTACCTCTCATCAGTAAGGTAACCGGGGCGCACTGTTTTAAAGGTCTGCAACACTTCTGCAACCCCTCATAATTTTTTTCCAAATGCCCCAGATAACTTTAAAAAAAATATTGAACTGTGCATCTTCTCCTCGTTTGAAGTAGGTTAAAAAGAAAATAAGCGAAGGGTACAATATAATACCTAATAATGGTAAATATTTCAGGCCACATTTTTATACAACATTTACTAGTCCCAAACTAAACAACGCTTGTACTATGGGTACCAGATAACGGATGAACATACTTTTCTCATGTAAATAAATACATATTATAAATATATAAACACCCAGACACTGGAAAAACACAATGTTCACCGTACAATATTTTGTGGCAATCGAACCCACATCCTGTGGCCGATCGGGTCGTCGTGAACCGACCACAACGAACCAATACAAACTACCACGACCCACGGGACGCGCAACGTGCGAATCTCTTCGGCGGACTGCGTCTGCGATTCGGACGAGGGCGTTCGCGTGGTCATTTGCGGACCCAGTCATCGGTCGGCCGCCGCACGCGACGGTGCCGCGCAATGAAGGACAAACAGGACGTCGACTTGGACTCGATTTTGGCGGAGCTCGGTCAGCTCGGCCGCTACCAGATACGGATATTCTGCTTCATACTGCTGCCGATCCTGTTCAGCGCCGTGCAGAACAGCCAGTACATATTCGCGGCGGCGAATGTGCCGTACAGGTGAGCGATCCGTGTCCCCTCGTCGAAGGTCCGCGCGTTGTTTTTGTTTACGGCACCTGTCGCGGCTTCAGAACAGACCGACAACGAATTTCACAAAACCATAATTGTGAAATTTGCCGGTCGGTCTGTTCTGTTGACAAATGTTGAAGTACAGTGTTGGCTTTACTGTGTGAATTTATTGAGTGCAATATTATAAAGAACTGAAATATCGGTGCTTCAGCGGTGGACTTAAAGAAAGCTGAAATGTTGACGGATAACATAAATATATATAAAAATGAAATGAACAAACTCATAAATTACGTATACTATAAATCAACCAATATACCTGATACTTAATTAAGCCAACCACAAGTACCAGACTTGAGAAAGTATTATATATTTTCTTACATTCATATTTTAAGTGAAAGTTTAAACAATTACATTTTTGTAGATAAATGAAAAAAAAACTTTCGGTACTGCGAGATTCGAATCCGCATTTTCTGGTGTTAGCCCAGACGCTTTGCCAACTAAGCTAAGCGGCGGATACAATTTGAGTGCGGCAACCATAGCAAAAAAAAATAAAAAATAATTTTGAAACTTATAAAATTTTGAGTAAAGTTCTTTGAAACAAAATAATCGAAAAGTTATTGTTATTATGCAATTTAATGATTTCTTTTATTTAATTTGCAGTCTTGAAAATTCCATAAATAAAGTAGCATTAGCACTGAATAATTAAAACTACGAAAATAAATAAGAAATATCAGTTTAATCGGTATGTGTATTAAGATAAGTATCGATAAAAGTTGTTAAATTATCCTAAGATATATTTCGAATCAAGGTTGGATTGCATAATTAATAATTTCCAAAGCGAGTGCGAATTTAATTTGAATGTAAATAAAAGCAGAATATAAAGTAAACAATATGTATGGCGGTTATTGTATTGTTTAATTAATCAATTCTAATAAAATTTCTGAAAATTTTATTCGTACGAGATAGAGTAATATTGGGCACTGCGTACCAGAAATTGATCATGACGGCTGAAAATCTATTTTATTCGTCTGATGTAATCAAAATTCTCTGTAATCCTTTCTCTTACTATATAACGGGTGGAGTCTTCACAAAGCGTGAAACCTATTTTTATACTTATCCTAGGTTTATTACGACGAGCTGAGAACCTGACGAGCCCCTTAGGAACAAACCAGATACTTGTTCCAGATCTGGAACAATTATCTGATGCTCACACAGATACTCGTCCCGTGTGGGATTCGAACCTATGACCCTAGCGGTGAAGCCAATATCTTAGCTACTGCGCCACATAGTTTACAAACTGTTTATTCTAAACGATTTTCTAATGGATCTCAGTAAGGTAACTTGCAGTACCGTTGATACAGTTTTTTTGCAGCTCGTAGGGGGAAAAAGAAACTCTCTTCCGTTCGCAAATTCGTGACATCACGGGGCGTGTAATCGACAGTATAGGTAGCAAACCACATTTTAAGCTTAAGAAATCAATTGATAAAGTCGATAAGCCGATTTAAATCCTTAAACTTGTCATGATTGATAAAAACAACTTATTATCCGTACACCCATTCATAATCAATGTTTCTCTCTCTATGTGCTTGTGAACTTTAAACTTGAGAATCGCAAGGGATATAAAAATCAAGGGTACTCTGGGCTGAGGCCGTCCAGCGCTACGTTAGCTAAGAGCAATATCTACTTAAGGACTTGTCTGCTTCATCGGTGTCAATGTGTCCAGCTCACTGCAACTTTTTTTAACTCACGTGCCCTACCAGCTATGTCCATGACTTTGGTTCCATGTCTGATCATCTCATTTCGCATGAACTCGAAGTATAGCCTTCTCCAAGTCCCACTATGAAATTCGACGTTTGCGTTAGGTCATCACTGTTAGGATGCACTGATTGAAGAGTTTCGGCTTAAGGACTGTTCCTTGCGATTGCTCTCTTTTGTTTTCACCTTCTTTCTGGAAGATTTGCACCACTGTGTTGAGGTCGTTCATACCAGTGCTTCATATCAGCAAAAAGATTTTCCAGTTATATGTGAAATTGTTTCGGACCCATTGCGGATTCGCTTCTTTTTTGTACACCCACCTTTGCGTTAAAGCTGAAGTGCGTCTTCGTGGCATTTTGAACAGAGAACATCATATTTGCTATCGAAATCAAGTGGTGCGCGTACATTTTCATAACATTGAAACTACATCTCTCGATCAGCCGTACACACATACAGATTTCTTCGACGTTGTCAGTAAGACCGTGGACGATGAATCTCAAATCACCTTGTGACCGAGCCGTCTCAGTAGAACTAGAGGTGGTCCAGCTTTAGTGTTATGGGGTCCCATGCCCCTTCATTCTTCATATAACCCTGGAATGTACTATTTAATCTTCTCTAGTCCTCCCTCGAGTTGTGCTAGATGTTGGAGTGTAGCGTTCGTCGCACATAGTCATGGTAAAATGTTTGAGTAGGTGACCTGCCGTAACTTGGGGATTCGATCCCACCTCCAGACCTGAAAAGTTGCCAAGCGAGCAGGCGGTTCACCTGATGTTAAGTGAATACCGCCGCCCATGGACATCTGCTACACCCGAGGGTGACAGATGCGTTGACAACCTTTTGAAGATTGGGCTCCGGCTACCTCACTCGCCAGACAAAACACGAAAGTTTTTGTTATACTTCCCCTTTACGGCGGTCTTCTGTGAGGTCGTGGTACTTACCCGGATGAGCCTGCCCATTCGTGCACTAGCCGAGGCTGCTGCGTGGCCCTACCACAGATAAGCTTAATCAATATTTTTTATTTTATTATAGAAACATCTCAAAAATGATTCCATGCGTTGAGGCGTTTTACATATACAAATTGTTGACAGCTGTAAACGAAAAGACGAAAAATTTGTCTCGTATAAAGTTGCTTCAGACAAACGCCTATAAATAAACGTTTTGCCAACAGTACTATTAAATAATATTAGTTATATTATAATAGTTCAATACAGATTTACCTCTCTGCCTTTTCAATGATTGTTCCAAGTTTCAAACAGATTTCTTAAAGATAATTTTTATGCGTTGTTTAACGAGTAATTACTCCAGATTAGAAATACTATGGTTATCTTATCAATAAGGATTTTTATATCGCAATGTGCCGGTAGTAACTACCTTACAAGAAATGTTCAAAAATGAATGTAGGTACTTAACTTTTATTTGCTGAAAGATAATTGAAAATGATTTCCTGCTTTGGGTCGGCAAAAAAGATTGCTCCGAGACGTAGCTGCTTTTAAAGAACTGTCTATTTTTTTTGTGTTTTAAAGTAAAGTAAAGTAACAGCTCGTACATGTCCCACTACTGGGCAAAGGCCTCCTCTGCACAGAGGGTATACACGCGACCCCACTGCGGATTGGCGGACTTCACATATCTTCGATATGTCTTTTTTTGTTATTATTTCGAAAATATGCAGGTTTTCTCTGTTTTCCTTCACCGCTGAGCACGTGATAAGTCAGCACTTGGAAGTTAACAATGTCATTGGTGCCGGCACCGTGGATCGAACTCAGGTTGCTCGAGTTTATTGAATTACAGGCGGACACTGAGATATCACGGCTTTTAGTCTCATTGTTGGCTAAAAATTAGTGATGAGATAGTTGCCCAAGTGAACAAGCCATCACCAAACTTTGGCCAACTCCAGGCCTCATTTCCATCTTTCGCTCATATTCATAGAAAGTTTTACTCATGATGAAAAATTTCGTCTTCACTACACAAATAGTTCAATTGGCGTAAATGGGGCTACATGATATTTTTGTTTTTAATATATTTTTTTAATATATTTATAGAAATATATTAAAAGAAATTATAGAATTACAGAGAGTGTTATTTTCGCTTTGATATAAAACGTAAACTTCTAGAAGCTAGTTTTGTCTATTTTTAGTTACTGGTTTTAGTTTCAGATTCCGGTGTGTATAACTTATATCGCCCATCTCAACTTTGTCTAATCTCAAATCTTGATTTAACTAAAGAAGGTCCTATGACCCTGGAGTGAATATACAACTGCATAAGGCGCATTTACCTCCTTTTAGAAGTAATAAGTTCTGTCACAATCTTGTTTAATGTAAAGTACCTGGAGGACGGAGGTAACAGAGGTAAATCATGTATTTTGGAAATAAAAAAAAATAACGAAAATGATCTGGTATAGAAAAAAAAAGTAAAAAAATAAATAAATGTGTAAATGATCGTGATACGAACCGTGCCGTCTGTTTTGGGGCCGCCCGATTACCGACCGAGATTATTATTATAACAATTATTTTTGCGGCGAAATTTACTGTCATATTCGAATTTTATTTTTCATTCCCTGAAAACAGAATAAGATAAAACTACATTTTCTAAAAATCAAACCTAGCTAGATCGATTTTTCGCCCCCGAATCTACGCACATACTAAATTTCATGAAAATCGCTGGAGCCTTTTCCGAGATTCCGATTATAAATATATATATATGTATATATACAAGAATTGCTTGTTTAAAGGATAGGATTTCGACTACTTGCCAGAAATATTTGAACTGATTATGAATAAGGAACTTGTATGCCATATTAAAATGAAAAACTTATCGATTTGGTTCAGTTCAATAACGCTGAGTTTTCTATTATTCCAATGAATTAGTGAAGTCTCGAACTTCTGAGATCGTTTCAAAATATCGCTCTTACAAACGTTGTGGGACCTCTTTGTCAAAGTATGTTCGGAAACAGACCCTGGGTCTTTTTTTTGTTGACGAGGGGGAAATGCCTACGCATACCCGCCCTCGCGGGGGCAAGAGCGGGTTATGTCGGACTCGCACTGACTAAAACCTCCACGATGTTACACCTAGGCGCATATCGGCAGGGTCACGGGAACGCTTTCGCACACTTCCGTGACCCTGCCAGCGCTGGCCGCCTTGGCAGCCCCTCACGGGGAGCAAGTCCCCTCTCCTCCAGGTAAGGCGCGCTGGAACATTCAGCGCGCCTTCCTACTCGGCCCCATTTTCACGGCCAACGA